AGGAAATAGATCAAAAGAAACTATATTATTCAAGTCAGAAGGATCAGATTAAAAATACCTTCATAAAAGCAATCCTAATCAAAACAACTATAAAAAGTATAAAATATCTAGGCATAAATTCAACCACGGAGGTAAAGTAATTCTATGAAGAAAACTATAAAACATCAATAAAAGAAACTGAAGAGAAGAAAAAACTAGAAAGATACCTCACATGCATAGATTGGAAGAATATTGTTAAAATAACCATACTGCCCAAAGCAACTTACAGTATCAACATAATCTCTACCAAAATACCCATAGCATTCTTCACAGAAATAAAAGGCACTCTTAAAAACCTGTATGTAACCAAGAAAGACTCCAAAGAGTCAAAGCAATCCTGAGTAAAAAAGAAACAAAGCTGGAGGCATCACATCTAAACTCAAACATATTTCAAAGCTATAGCAATCAAATAGCATAATTCTGGCATAAAACAGGTCATATTCCTGCTCTGCTTCTCTCTCAGATTCCCACTGTGTCTCTAAGGACACTCATTACTAGATTCAAGGCCCACTGAATAACTAAAGATGATCTTTTCATCTCAAGATACTTAATCACATCAGCAAAAACCCTTTTTCAAAATAAGCTACATTCACAGGTCCCAGGAATTAGGCTGTGTATTGTGAGCATTTTTAGTAACCATACATTAGCCAACAAAGGAATTTCCCAGGACACGGTTAAAGCGTTTGTGCAAGAATAAAGTGCAGAGCAAGTAAACTCAGTCTAGATTATAGCAGGACGCCCGTAAGAAAAAAAAATAATAAAGACTGAGAAGGGCTTATCAGTTCTGAAAAGCATAGACTTTGGTGCACATGACTGGTAAATGAAATAAGAGGCAAACACTCCAGGAAAACAAACAAAAAAGTAAGGAAATAAGTTGAAGGAAATTATTCCTGCACGCAGTCTTGCTCAAATAGTGAATAATATTTATATACTGAATATTGATTTAACTAAACATATTATTATCCTATGTTAGGACAGAATGTGGGCAGTGTCAGAGTAAAGGGAAGTTAAGAACACTCATTCTTTATCTTTCAGAAAAGATAACATCTAGTGTTGATAAGAAAATAGTGTAAATGTTATTAATTACATAAGGGTAAATACTAGAAGATCGATCTAACTGTTGCACAAGGAGTGCAGAAGAATGGGTATGGGCACTGGTTATCACATTTAATTACAAGGTTCTTTTGTTTTTTTTAATTAAGACTTGGGGATCAATTTCAGAATCTCACATATTACTAAGCTCCCACTCTACCACTGAGCTACGTCCCCAGTCTATAAGCTTACTATTGATATTATGCTCCTATTGCTTTTAATAATAAAATTTTTAAATTGTATTGCAGAAAAAAGATTATGAGAAAAAATGAGCTGCCCTGACTACTAACACATTTGTTACATGGTCTCACAGTTTCTTCTTCCTTGAAGCCTTGAAGGAAACACAAAGATTCCTGAGAAGGGGTTCTTCAAAATAAACTCTCAATACATTGTGTGGGGGGGGGAACCCTCCAACAAGCCAACATCCAAATCACTCTTTAAATTATGCTGACTACAATGAACACAATCTCTGTAGCCTCATGTAATTATAAGTCTATCCAACTTCACTTTTAATATAAAACATGGATTTTTTTCCCCCAAACCTAAGGCATTACTATCACAACTGTGAATAAGCATGTGTAACTGGGAAACAAGCAGAAATCGTTATAATGAAGGTGTCTCTAAATTCATACCCTGCTGAAAAGGTGCAAGTGAGTCTAGTTTACATGTGGGTTGACTGATTTTAGAGACTTTGCAGTATCGGGAGCACCATAAGAAGCCTGTCCTCTAAATACCTTACAGCCCAGTGAAGAGACAAGAAACTTATGGAAGAGTCCTTTTGTCAAATTGTGTTAAAGAGAACACTTATTAGGAAAGGGTACAACAGCTGTAATGCCAAAATAATGTAAAAGATGAGGGGGGGAAAAGGAGAATGTTCTCTACTTACTTAATATCTGCCTTTATCCAGTTCATTAATCTAGGACTCATTTCTAGAATCTACACCCACCTCTGCCTCTTCTTCTTCCCTTCAACTGGCTTAAAAGTCCACCTATCACCAGGCACTGGTGACTCACACCTATAATCCTAGCTACTTGCTTGGAAGGCTGAGATCAGGAGGCAAGACTAGGCAAATAATTTGACAGACCCCATCTCCAAAATAAGCCAGAGCAAAATAGACTGGAGGTGTGGCTCAAGTGATAGAGCACCTGCTTTTTAGAGGGTCTGTAACATGCATAAACTTACTAATCTATGTCCTAAAGGACTATTATCAATTACTTCAAAATTCCCCCCACAAAGAGATAGTCACTTAATTTATATTTTATTACACACGGTATAACTAACAATGATATGTACTCTAGATATACTAATCTAGAATTTGTATGATGTCAAGGTAATCTTGCTTACTGTTTTTACCTAGTCATTTATCCATCTTGTTTTATAAGACAAGACAGCACCTATTGTAAGTAGACATTTACAAATATTTTTGTATCAACAAGTGATCCTACTATAAACAGTCCTTTTAGTTTTTCAGACGCAAACTCAAATATAATTTTCAAAACAAAGGAGCTTGTTTTTCTGTAAGCAAGAAATGAAAATAATAAAAAAAAATACTTCATAAGAAAGAAATGTACTGGGGTATTGGTAACATGGGGGAGGTAGATCAGGAAACAAATTAACTTTTAGAGCAAAGCCACTTTGGCTTGAATCTCAAGCAACTGTTTATCTTGCCCCAGATTAATACTATGCCTGTGGTATCTAAAGTAGAAAAAAAGTCCAGAGCAAGTACAAATGACAACAAAGAAAATGCTATAATGCCATTGCAGATGGCCCTTTATTTATTTTCATAACTCATGAAAGAAATAATCCCAAAGCAAAGTTGATTCTGGAAAAGGTTATTTTGAAGCCAACAGGAAAAAGAAAATAAAAAGCAAAAAGGAAATAAAAAGTAAGTCTTTACTTTCTACTAGTTCTTTCCCATCCAATGCTTCTAAATCTCTCAAATTCTTACCATGTTACCAGTAAGAATACCACCTGAGACACTGTAACTATAAAGCATAATCCCCAAATACAGTGTTCATACGTTTATAATTAATTCTGATAGATATTTTAAAATAGTAGAACTATGAGAGCCATTTAATATAAGTATGCAATTCAGGTCCTTTGATATTTGAAAGAGACAAAAGTAGATTAGAAAACTGTCATCAAAATTAGGTTAAATGAGAAAGCCCCATACGGTTTTCCATAATGGCTGTACTAATTTACTTTCCTACTGACAGTGTGTAAGAGCTCCTCTTTCTTCACATTATCACCAGCATTTGTTATCTTTTTGATAATAGTCATTCTAACACTATGGAGGTTCTTCAAAAACTAACACACAATTCAGCAATCCTCTTACTGAATATATACTCAAAGGAAATGAAATCAGTATGTCAAAGACATACCTGCAATCTCATGTTTATTGAAACATTATTCATAATACCAGGATATGGAATAGTTCTAAATGTCCATCAACAGATGAATGGATAAAGAAAAAGCACAATGTGTATGCATGCATGTATACATATATGCAAATACACACACACATATACAGCAGAATATTATACATATTATAATGGAATATATGAAATATATAATAGAATCTTATTCAGCCATAAATGGATGAAACCCTGTCATTTATGATAATATGTGTGGACCTGAAGGACACAGAAATAAGCCAAGCACAGAAAAAAATACATGAGCTCACTCATATGTGGAATCTAAAAACTAAAAACTGATCTAAAAACTGATTTAATAAAAGTTAAGAACAGCAATTACCAGAGTCGGGAAGAATGTTGGGGAGGGGCAGGGAGAGGAGGAAGGAAGTTAGTCAATGTTACAGTTAGACAGGATCACTAAGTTCTAGTGCTCTATGGCACAATAATGTACTACAAGTCCCAAAACAAATAGAAGGGAAGATGACGGCTATGCTAATTACCCTGACTTGATCATTACTCAATGTATATGTGAATAAAAAAAAACACTGTACCTCATAAATATGTGCAATAATTACATAACAATCAAAAAAATAAAACTACAAATTAAACAAAATGGCAAATTTATCAAGGAACTTGAAAAATACTTCAAGCCTAAGCTGACATGAAATTCTTAAATGTTCCTCTTTCCAAGGTTTTCAAAACACATACAAAAATTCGTGACAGAAACTCTTGTCTCCTGACTTACCAAAGTACTTACTGTTGGCAAGAGAAATCAAGCCATCAAATATACCTAAGTACTTTGTTTAAATTCTTTTAAAACCAACTCTTATGCTGTGCATTTCAGAACCTTTCATGTAGGGCATTAACACAGAAATTATTGAAGTACACAGGGCAAACTGGCTGAAGAAGCAAAGTTATTATGCTGAAGACCATGGAAAGTAATTATAAACTCAAACTCCCCAATATCACCAAAGCTGTCTCAACATACAGATGACTTTCCACCATGACTTCCTGAAGCTCTCACTCTTCACATTTAGAAGGTAAAAACTATCACAGTTACCTCTGTGGGCAAAAGTCTCAACTGATGCTGCGGTGCTCACGCCTCTACTCACCAGATGCACACATGCTAGGATTTCAGATGGAAATATGCAAGCCCCATACTATTTGGCTTCTGAGTACTAACAGCAAGGGTACATTAACTTCCAAAGTGAGTAAGTCATCATGAAACTGAAGAATCCAAACTTTTTAATTTGGTTGTAGGCATAAACGAATTTTAATGAAATTGTAATTCTATAGTATGTGGCTTTTTTTTTCCTTTATCCATTTGTTCATATGTGCATACACTGTTTGTGCCATTTCTCCCCCGTCCCCTCACTCTCCCCCCTTTTTTTGCATCTCAAAACTCTTCAGTTGTAGAGCAAGAATCTGATGCACTAATACTATATAAAGTCTTACCTGTTTGTCTATTGGGGTCTTCCCAGTTGAACTTTTCTGATTTGTATTTCCATCCATTCCTCTCAGGACACTGATGAAGTCTTTCTTGGAAACAGTTGATATCAATTTAGCACGCTTTCTCATAGAGCCTCCTGCTTCTTTAACCTTTTCATCAACATTCTTTTGATGCTTCTGAACAGCATTAAATAATTGCACCACACCTCTAAAGAATATAAAGTAACCAGAACAATGTGGTTAAATAACTATCATGCTAGAATACAAACTCTATAAGGATGGCAAGTGTTTTTTCTTACTCCCTAGAAAAAAGAAAAGTACTTTTGAGGCACTCAAATGAAAGACCTGAATGAATGGGTAAAATACATTTGGAAAATGAATATACATTTCACTGAAAAAATATAAATTTCAGAATAGAGAATGAATATATGGGTTTTTATGGTCATTCAAAATCAACTTTTGTTCAATTAGAACTGAAAACTACTTTTGATATAAAAGTCTGTCTGTCATAATACATGCAATCAGTTAAGGCACTGAGACAGATGGAAGAATCCAGGACTCACAGTTAGTTATGTAATTATCTAACTCTAAGAAAATCTGCTGGATCTTAATTCCATCTGTAAATTGGAAAACTGAGTAGCTTAAAAAGTATTCAGATATATTATCTGCAACTATGTGTTATGAAACTTAACTTTAAAATCCTATTTTAGTGGTAGAACAGTTTTCTAACATGTGAATTCCTGTGTTTGATTCCCAGTACCACTCCCCCAAAAACTCCTACTCTTAAAGATAATTATTTTTAAAACTTTGCCCTGTGTAAGTTCATTCTTACACAGATGAATTCTGAAGGTTAAGGGCCCTTCCCAAGTAGTAATCCCAGCTACTCGGAAGTGGAGATTGGGAGGATCACAGTTCAAGGTCAGCTCAGGCAAAAATTGTTAGCAAGACCCCATTTCAATCAATATACTGGGTGTATTGGTGTGCGCCTGTGATTCCAGTCACATGGGCTGGTCCTGGGCAAAAAACATGAGACCCGACCTGAAAAACAACTAAAGAAGCAAAAAAGGGCTGAGAGGTGGGCTCATGTGGTAGAGCTCCTATGAGGTCCTAAGTTCAAACCCCAGTACTACTTAGGGAAAAAAAAATTTTTCAAATTTTTAAATTTCATCAATAACTACTTTATACCAATTGCATGTTGAAATATTCTGATTAGGTAATAAATTATTGAAATTAATTTCATGTCATTCATTTTACTTTTTCTCTATGAAACCCTGAGAAAATTTTAAATTAGATATGTGCCTCACATTTTTATTTCTACTGGGCAGCACTGATTTAGACCATTAAGATCCATTCCAGCTCTAAAATTCTATCTGTGAATTCTTTCTCTAATAATTCTCAAAAGAGGCAATCTGCCATAGCCCAGAGCAACCCTGCACATTCTTGCTGAGTTTTTCAAAAACAAAAGGCCTGACTGCTCTTTACCCAGCCATTTCTCAGTGTTGGATTTGCAGTAAGTGACTTGATAGATAAGGTAACATCTCCCCTCAAAGAACAGCTTGTTATTAACATTATAAAAGTAACAGATCCCCTAGCACAGTGTGCCTCTCCTATACCACAACTCACTGCCCATGCTGGTATCCATCCAGTGAACCTGCACTGCCCCTGTGGGACAATGGGGACCAGTAAGAATATGAAACTCTGGTTACAGCTTTTGCCACGCATAATAAAGTCCTTCTCTTCTCTGCTACCCTCATCTAAAAAACAGCCTGACTTGTTAGCTAACAAAAAGTAAAGGCCAGGCCTTTCAGCAGGGCCATGACCAGAGGGAACCAAGTGAGGTTGCCTAGGGCATAAATTTAAAGAGGCACTTATTCTCATGTGCTGACTCTATCTATACTTCTTTAAATTCTTTTTATTATTAACTTACTTAACTCTCAGAGAAACCTTTAAGGCTAGGTATATTATCTTCTTTTAACTGATAAACTGAGACAGAGAGAAACTAAGTAGTATATCCAAAGACACACAGCAAATAAGAGTCAGTACTAGAATTTGAATTTAGCAATCTGACCCTATCCCCCATGCCCTAAATCACCACACCATCTCACTATGTAACATCTAGATGGATTAGAAGATAACCAAAATAATTTTGGCAACTAAGAATTAAAAGTAATTTCAGTAAAAACAATTGCTATATTCTTAAAGTAGCAGCTTTAATGCCATCTCCTCTGTGAAGCCTTCCCAACCCCCACCCCTTATCTCCTGCTATATGCTCCCAATATACAGAACATACCTCTATTCTCAAAGAAACTGTAATTCCTACCAATGAGAGAGCAAGGACCACCCAGCAGCCACTATATCCTACTTATCTTTGGACACAGAAGGCATCAAATAAAATGTCTGCTGCCAGTGATTTAAAAAAAAGCAGAGTAAAGAATAGCATGAACCTGCCACAATGTGTAATGTATTATCCCATAAATACAATGCTAGATAACAAAAATAATCTAGTGCCATAAATTTAGACAGCTATCATAAGAGAAATGCAGTAAGAGGTCTGATTACACTGTTCTTGTGACTATAAAGACAAGATGATCTGAAATAGGTTCATACCAAATATACAGTTAGCACAATATACTCCTGCCTCAAGAGACCTCCAAAATCTTTGGTTGAATTCAGTGTTCAACAGCAGGCTTAGATATGTATCATTTGGCTCTGAGAAGGCAGAGTTTTAAGAGTCAAACCTGATAAAAAAAAATAGATCACTATCAAAACTTTAGTATATTTATTTTTTAGAGGGCAAAAGGAGTCTTACCTCGTTGCAATTCTCTGGAGATTTCTCTCTGTTTCTTTGTCTTTGACAACATCTGGCTTTACTCTGCACATCATTTCCCACTCCCGCTTCTTATCAAGCTGTGTTATAAATAATGTTATGTGAAAGAATATTAGGCATTTTTGAAAGTGCAGCAAACTTTGATAGATACTCTGTGAAAGGACAAAGGTAATAAATCATTCTGGCTTAAGCTGTCATACAGACTTTTAGAAAACCATAGTTTTGGGGGTTCAACTCAGAGAGCCTGTGGCTAGCACTCAGCGTGTCATGTGAGAGGCACCAAGTGAGTATCAGTTAGGTTCTCTGACAGCAGGGGTCTGGAGAGTGGCCAGTACATGGCAGTATGAGGTAGGGTGTCAGACAGCCACACGCCTGACCTGCCATCCAGATCATCAGAGGGAATAAGAAAGACTCCAAGCTACTCTCTTTGGTAACTACAAGTTTAAGCACTGTTTCTCTTTCTTTTCAGAAAGTGATTTCTTCAACAGTCATAATTAAGAATGTGTCACCTTTTAAAAGAACCATATCATATCTAAATATTAATGTAGTAACTTTTTCTCCACACAAAATCATCTAAATTCTTTTCTCCTCTCACAGCACATCTAACCAATATTCTTGCTCTATACATTATCAGTCACAAATTCTAGCAAATTAATTTTTTTGCCTCTGTGTAAAAACAGAAAGGGAACTGGGAAATAAGAAAAACCCACAGAAAAGAGAAGAGTTTTCCAATTAAAAATGGTCTTCAAGTAGGATCCTGGGTGCAGGCACCTGACCTGACACACTGTTCACATCTGTTTCTCAAGCCAACATGTATCCAACTATCAAGCACACTGATATGATGAACTAATCACCTGAAGTTAGTCAGCATCAGAAGTATCCATACCAAGACCAATAGAAAAAATGTCTCCTTTGATCTCTTCTTTCTGCTACTCATCTAGCTCTCACTTTGTACTGATGAAAATGTCTAACAGTAAAACCATATTCCTGCTCTCACTATAAAGATTAGACTGATTTCTTTCTAAAGAAATATAAATTCTTCTCCAAATCAGATAGGGCATTTACATAGGCCCTACTGCAGAACTGCTGTATAAAGAGTATATGTCACTGCTACTTTGTGCTTCTGGTAACAACAAGCATTCTTTCTACTACTCAGTGTTTTGACCTAGAGTTGAGTCAGAGACTCACTCTTGGCTTCAAAATGTTCTTGCCCTGACTGCAACTTTGAGAGTAGAGGTAATTAAAGATTCTGATGTTTTTAAAGCCTTTTCTAGCTTTTGCTAGTTAATAAACAAGGATTCAAATTTGCAGTTGAAAAGCTATCTGTAAGATTTAGTACGAGAATATTGAATTAATAAAAGTGCACATTGTGTATTATGTTGATAAGAGCAAAGCTTGAAAAGTTCCACCTTTATGTAGCCTTTCACACAAAGCAACCAGTAATAAGAACAAAGAAATGGTTCATCTTGAAACAAGGTAAGAGTAAACATAAAAAAGAAATTTATGTCAATTCAAATCTATTTTTCTATCATTGCTACCTTTAAAGTTCTTCTTGGAAATTAGTATTCTGCATTGCCAGTACAATTACACAAAGTTATTTTTTCATTAATAAATACTCATTTTAGTATTCAAATAGTTTAGACACAGGTACTTTATCAAGTAAAGGAATATAAAAACCTTATCATAGTTTCTTTATTTTTAAACTACACAAACAACTTTTGGTCTTTAACTAAGAATACACTAGTCTAACTTCAATCATCAGTGGATTAACCAAAGCGATAATGAATTCATGTTTATCCAACAGAAAAATAATCAGTTTTTACAACCTGACTGTGACATCATCACACAGATTGACATTATAAAAAAAAGTTTTTAGCAAAAAACTAGCTAATATACTTCTAATGAGTTCAAACCTAACGATGCCAGAACATGGACAACTAAAATAAAATATTTAGACCCAGGAGTCACTGCCACATGTATAATTATTTTAGAAAGATAAATTTCCTCAGTTTACATTTCTATTGTTTTGCTTAAAGGACTAAACACTGAACATGTACAATAAGGTAATTCAGACTGTTTCTGAATGTAACCTTCCACTCCCCACCCCAACACACATAAAAAGCAAGTTAAAAACTAGAATGTTAAGCAGACAAACCCAGCAAGGAACAATATGGAACAGATAAGAACTAGATTACAAACAACATCATCTATAAGACAACCAACAGGACACACCTGTTTTCTTTTCTCTAGTCTTTCTTGCTTTAACTTTTCTTTCTCCTTTTCTAACTCTTTATTTTTGATGAGGATGGTGGGTTTACTTTTAGGAGTTTTCTTGTTAAGGATTTTAGCCATAGCATCTGCCCAGCCAGTATTAGCACCAGCACTTGATTCTGCAGCATTTTCTTTATCACAAGGTTCAACATTATCCTCGTTGTCAGCTTCTATTGCTTCATCATCAGACAACTGATCCATTTCTGATTCACAGCTTCCTATAGAACCTGAGAGTAAAATCAAATATAATTTTAGTTTCATAGGCAGAGATTACCAAGGCTATGAACAAACTGCCAAGACCCTTCATCAAGTTCCACCTGTCTGTACTCTTATAAGAAAGGACTCTTTGAGTCCCATAGCTACAGTAATGGTGGGGCACAGCAGGAGCATCAATACCATTGCCATCAGTCCCAAAGACCTAGCCACATTGACAGGAATGTCTCAGTGGCTTCAAGACCCAGGACCTGCACAGCAGAAGTAAGTCCAACAGTTTCCACCACTTCACTGCTGTCAGAATGGTAAGAGATGCTTGTCATGGGGCCAGTATAGGATGTATTGAAGCACGTGGACCTTAACAGTGTCATTAAAATACTTAAAGAGATAACTATGTTAAAAACAATTTAAAGAAAAAACTTTATCATATCAAGAAAATGATAGTGTCTGGGTAACGTCTCTCATGAATTTGGTCCATGTATTTAAAACTCTGAATCTGTGTGCAGAAAAACACTAAAAAAAAAAAACCCTCATTTTAAAGAATTCAGATATAGTACTATAAACTTCATTTAGCTGTTTTAACATTGGGGGGTGGGGAGAAGCTATCTAATGATGTGCCAAAGATACCAAAGATTCAATCGCATTGCTAGGTGACTAAATATGAACTTCTGAGCTGAAAATACCAATTTATAAATGTACTGTTGAATTTTATCATGCAGAACTACCAAAGGTTACAAGCAAGCTAGGTCATGATTTAGGACTCCAATGTCTGGATTAGGAACAACAGTGTAGTCAGTCAGTAGCTTTGCTGGGAAACAAACTTACTGAGAAGCTAGCTCTGGGTACCCTAAGCTTAGCAGCCAGCCTTTTTCCACTTCTGAAATAAATTGTGCTTTAACAATAAGCACATGCAGCTGGCACAGTGATCCAGGGCCCTCTGGAGAGATTCTATTTCATTTTTCATTCTTCAGAAACCAATCACACTTACTAGGAAATACTTCAAAGGAGAAAATCATCCAACAGCTAAGTCACTTGTAATGTTTTTTGTTTCAACAAGGAGAAGAGCTAATAAAGGTAGCTAGGACATTAATAAAAAGGAAAGCAGGGTTACACAAATAGATGCCACTTAGTAGTTAACTCTCCAGGTAACAAATGTACTTTCTTTGATTAACCCCAGATTAGATGAATCTCAAAGTTAAATACAAAAAAATGCCAGTTCTTGAAACTTACTATTCTGTTAGCTCTACTACATAACAATATTAGTAATCAACAGTACTGATAATCTTTTAAATACTGACTCATTTGCTTTAAGATAACATGAAGAAAAAAGCATAGGCATAAGCAGTTTTCTGCTGCTCCCTCCCTACTTTATCCAATTCTGATGTCCCCCCCGACCCAAATCAGAACTTTCACTTAAATGCAGTGGGCTGAAAAGGAAACATAGCCCCAAAGTACTACCTCTCGGTGAGCCTGTGCTGCTCCCAGTACCATTACCAGAGCCAAGCATCATAGCCAGAACCTCTCTTCTACCTTCTAAGAAGTCTACTGATTGAATGTTCTTACAAAAAAATTGACTGTTCTTCAACTACAAGCCCTCAGTTTCTCCTTTAAATAAGTTCAGCAGAATGTGCACACTCTACATTTTGCTTATTGCTACAACAAAGTGAGAAGAGAATGTACACTAGATTATTAACTTTGGAGTAATCATTATTAATTTCCTGACTTCAAGCCATGAATTAGACCATTGCTGTTTAGACTTGATTTTCAACTGGTGATTTTAATACTTGCAACTTAGGTACTACTTTTGCATAACACTGGCTGAATGTTTCTAATCTGAAAATTAAAATTCAAAAAAAATTAAGAATCGTGTTGGCCAAAAGATTTTGGAGTTTGAGCATCCTGAGTTTGGGGACATTTTGGATTTCAGATTTTCAGATTAGGGATGCTCAATCAGTAGTCCATTCAAATATTCCAAAATTTGATAACTATGAAATCTGAAAAACCTCTGGTCCCAGTAAGAGATACTCAAACTATACCTTTTTTTAAGTGCTGAGAATTCATGAAACAAAAAGGGCATGAAACTAAATATTAATGCATTTCAAATACAAATTTGTAGCCTTAGAACAGCAAATAGAAACATACATATCCAAAAATGAACCGAGAATAACATTGAAATATCTCCAAAAACTCACTGAGCATTATTGAGAAAAGAAAAATAATATATTCTTTAAATGCATGATCTTAAATTATCAATGGTATGAAAAAGTATTAAAACATTTGTTAAAAGCAGAAAATCATTTATAATTCTATGACTCTGATGAAGCTGCATATTTCTTAAAGAAATAGTTCCTTAAAATAGAAATTTATTTAGCACTAATTTAATCTCAAGGCTCTTCTATATCCTGTATGCTGGGTTAATTTCAAAAATCTAAAAACATGTGACCCTACACTTTGACATACAAGTATATTTGTAGGCAACTATATTATTCCCACAATATTTTTTAAAAAGGTATCTAAATTTTTTTCAAACAAAGCTGTTAGTACTTTAATCAACTCAATAAAAATTGATTCCAGGGCCCACACAACTTTTTCCCAAGAAGCATCTCCTAGGACTTTGAGAAACAAAGTTTAGAGAACACAGTTAGTTGAAAAATAAATACTTAATGGGTACTTAGAAACTGCTTCCCCTAAACAGCACTGGCTCCTCACTTGAGCCCACAAGTTAACTAAAAGCAGGACAAAAGCCTGGCATGTCTTACTACTTCACATCTGTCTCCTCTGCTATAAGCCATTCTCTCCCAGTCACCTTGGATTCTCCTGGGGCACATCTGATAAACAGCTTTATGGTAAGAGACTGAAGGTACCCCTAAGAAACAGGGAGCCATGCAAGGCACAGCACACACACACACACACACACACACACACACAATGAGGGTAATTATCTATGATGAAGAACTGCACTCTAGAGCGAGAACTATCACCCCATAGAAACCTGACTGTTGGTTCAAGCAATGATGTCTTCTTCAAACCACCTTGCAGAACCAGAACTGAGATAGTGATCAACCAGACCACAGTGACCAGAGACCGTTAACTATGCATATCTCTTGTCCCCTGGCCCAATTCTTTGTCCATTTAAACCTAAAGTACCCTGAAGAGGACTTGGAGTCACTGAACCCCTCTGTTTTTCCCAGGTGGCCACGTGGATTAAATCTCATCTCTGCCTTTCATCACTATTTACTCTTTAACTGGCATAGAGACAGGTGGCTAAATATAGTCTGTTGGGACTCCAAACTGCAACTTTTGCCCAAAAATTCTGGTAACAAATATGCTATACTCCTCAAAGTCAGCAGCACTATCCAGATGCTAATTATAAAATAAACAATTCTTAGAAAAACTACTTTGTCTAGTAAGTACTTATCTAAATGTAAAGAGGCATAATAGCTTAAAAGTTCATGTGAATGGAAACTATCTGGGTAATTAAAAGCAGAAAAATCTTTACCAGCTCCTGGTAATATGTAAGAACTACAACACTGACATCTAGTGTTTCATCCTTACAAATTGAAGCAAATTTCACGTTTTCCAACTGCAGTGTAAAATCAGCCAAAATGCTTTATGATTACGTAAGCCACTTCAATTCACCTCTCTGAAACCTTGTCTATTTTTCTTCAGTGCACGTTTTACCTAGTTTGACTACAACATAAGTATTATACACAGTTTTATTCAACCTATACTCTCCTTACCAATAAAAAAAAAATCACCTAGACAAATTTGTAAAAGTCAGGCTTTTTACTGTTTTTAAAGATGCTCTAGCTCAGAAGTTTCTAGTCTAGCATTTACTGCCAATGGCAATGATGACATTTTAGATGAATAAATTAAAAATGCCAATGTAATGAAATCTCCCAGTATACTTTTTTAAAAATGGATTTACTTCTAGGATATAAAAAATTACCACTATGTGAATTAAAAAGAACTGGTTCTTGAATTTTCACTATATCCTACTGGCATGAGTGTTTTTGTAATGTTCCACTGTTCAATCTCTAATAGCACAAGTATGTATTTCTAGGCATCTAGGCAGAGATGACAATCAGCAGACAAAACTCCTGGGAAGTCCTGTGCTACCTCGAACATTATTTCTGCACTTTTTAAGTGTGAATATCAACAAAAGTGCACAAAGGAAGGATGTTTATTAGAAATAATGACAAAAAGCTCCAATCATGGCAATGTTGTACATCAGAGCTACCCAGGAGCCACCAGTCACAAGAGGCTCCAAGTGCTTCAAAGATGTCTGGCACAACTGAGGAACTGAATTTTTTCTTTAATTTTAATTACTTTAAATTTAAGTTGCCACATATCGTTAGCTATTGGCTACTATTGGGCAGAGCAAGGTTACACCTCTGAGGTGCTGAGGTAGACATAAAGCATTTCTCGCCACTTGCTGTCTTCCCCCAATCCTCTAGCTCCTTTTCAAATTTGCCATCTGTCCCTGATCCCCAATAAGGTTAGCTGCTGGCAGGAAAGTGAGCCATTTTCCTTAGATTTTAGAACTGTGACAAAGCTTTAACAAGATGCACAGTTCCCTACCATTTATATATTAATAAACAAGAAAGAAATGAAAAGCTTACGTCTAGGTTTCTCTCCCTAAAGAATTCAAGAGTTTAGGAGGATAGAGTTAAAAAAAATTGCAATAAAAACTGCAAATGTTCTCAAAGAAAAGCAATGAAAAAAGGGTGATGGAGGTAGGGGAGAATGTTTTAAGAAAAGTTTTACAAAGATAATATTCAAGTTGTTTCTTAAAAGGCAAAAGCAAGCATATGAGTAATGAGAAGGGAGAAGGTCAAATTAAGATTCTACACTCTAACCTAACTGATCAGAGCACAGAAGTCACTGAGCCTAGAACCAAAAACATCCTAGATCTGAATCAATACTCTGTCTGAAAATAAAAATTATTATTGTAATTCCAGGCAAATGAAATCAGCATGTTCAAAAGCACTGAAAAGGCTAGAGATGATGAAAT